TGATTTGTTCGACGAAATCCAAGTAAAACAGCGTTTTCTTGAAACTCAAAGAGATCTCAATTTCGGGCACATTAGCGGAACAGACCATACAGTTAGGGTTGGGCTTCTCGAGCTCGTAGGCACTGATCAGGTTCTTAGCGGACGGACCGACTTTGCGGAGATACACGTGACGACACGACTCGTACAGCGCTTTATTCGCCTCTTCTGTAGTCAACTCTGGATTTCGCTTTTTGTGGACATTATTTCGCAAAATGTTAAGCGTTTGCAAAACAATTAAACCGCCGACTATTGAATTGGTCGATGAAATGGCGGGTATTATATTCCCGGCCATCGATTTGACATCAAATTTAGACTTTCGGCTGATATGAAAGCAAAACGACCGCAGATTGGATACAGCGGTCACGAAATCAAGAGCCGATTCGTCGTCTTTATCCCAAACCAAAAACGTATCATTTCCTCCAAAATCAGTCAATCGTTTCATCAATTCTTTGATACTTTCATCAAAAATAGTTAAGCATTCGTTGATTGACCACAACTTCTGAGCTTTGAGATCGGGGTTCGGTTCTCCCGAACCATTCAAACCATTGGAACTACTCGTACCCTCGATGGCGTCAAATTCAATATCATTGGCCACCACTCTATCGTAATCTATTGTCTTTGTAACTTCTGAGCTTTGAGATCGGGGTTCGGTTCTCCCGAACCATTCAAACCATTGGAACTACTCGTACCCTCGATGGCGTCAAACTCAATATCATTGGCCACCACTCGATCGTAATCTATTGTCTTTGGTTTGGTTCTGTTTTCCCACAACTGATCCATTCGTAGCAAATACTCAATATCTGTGTGGAATAGCTTAACGAACACTTGTTTCGTGTCATAACCACAAGCCTTAACCCAATCTCTTGTCGACTGTTGTTTTGCGGTCGAAGTCAAGCCTACAATACAAACACCAATTAATTAATCATTGAACCAATCAATCCATGTTCTCCGCAATCATACCATTGCTATCATCCTTGTTATCACTTGTAGTCAACTCCGGATCGGTGTTATCGGGACTCACGTCGTTGTCGGCGTCCACTTCGCCGAAGAGTTGGGCGAAGAGATGTTTGGCCCAAACGATGCAATGGATGGGAAGCGATGGCGTGTTTCTGATGGTACACGAGGCGAATGTGCGGCTGTCCTGTTTGGGTCCCTCACACTCATAGCATTGGGTGACAGTCTTGTGGATGAGGAACACCTGTCCCATATAGCCCTCGGAGCCCGACTCCACCAGCGGTACGCCCGCAGCCAAACACATGCGGTTCACGTGACTTCTGGCCGCTCTGTTGTCCAACGCGTTGATCACCAAAGTATAGCTTTTGTAGAAATCGATGTCAAACTCCGAACTCTGGATCGAGTTGTGGATGGCTTTGACGGCGACGGACGCGTTGTGGCCGAAGTGGTCGACCGCCACTTTGGCCGCGATTTCCGCTTTACTTTTGCCCACATGTTGTCGATTGAAGAGGAACTGTCTGTTGAGGTTCGAGACGTCGATTGTGTCCAAATCGATGACATCAATGGTCTCGAAGCCCATTAACAGCAGGTCTTTGATCACTTCGGAGCCGATACCTCCGGCGCCCACCAAAAGGATCCGACACTTCTTCACCTCTTCTGTCAACTCGTTGTCGCCCAACGTTTGGGTCAACAGAAGCGACGAATCTATTTCCGGCATCTCTTCAGATCACTTATCGGATCAATTAGTGGCCAAAACAATGTGTCAAACGATAAGCGAAAATGCAATTCAAATGAAGCGTTGGTTCACTATATAAATGGCGCTCAATTGAGTAGACGTCTCAACGGTTTCTACTTTTATTATTCAATGATTTAATCAGATTTTTAGTGACTTTTTTGTTTATAAATTAATTTAAATATTTTAATCAATTTATATCTTAATACGGGTTTAATATTAATGTTTAAAAATAATTAAATATATACTGAAAACCGTTTTCTATGTTTTCAAACTTATAAACAATATGCGAGTTTTGACAACTCTGGCGAACACCTCTATACAGTAAATAACGGCATCGATGTGTGTATAATATGTGTCCCCTTTGTGTCGAAACGTAAGGCATCTGAAGGCATATGTTATGCGAGTATTGCATGAATTGATGCCATAATTGATGGCAAGTGAGCGAAGAGTCCATTATTTGTGTCACGTTTTGAAAAGAGATAACAAATACAATAACCGATTGTTGTGTTCATTGAGTCCAGCATTCAATCCATTCATTCGCCGATTGATCCCTGAATTGGTGGTCAATCCATACAATCGGTGGTCAACAAGACATCCATCCAATTGTGAGGAGACAATTGGTTTTACCGCTCAGCGATTGCTAACCGTCGAAGAACTGGTGTGATGTCTGATCCGGACGACGATTTCATGTGCGGCGATGACGAGGAGGACTACGATCTGGTATGAGTGATGTGTGGCCGCAAAGAGTGGCCGCAATTGTCATCTCATGTGTTGTTTGATTGCCGCTTGTCTTCAGGAGTACTCGGAGGACAGCAACAGTGAGCCGGACGTGGACTTAGAGAACCAATACTACAACTCGAAGGCCCTGAAAGAGGA